GAGTGTATATGTATGAACATAGCAATAGTAATAATTAAGTTTTCATCACAGGATCTCAAAGCACTTTGCAAAGGTAAGTGTCATTATCCTCATTCTGCAGAGAATTAAAATGAGACCAATCTGGGAACAGATTTCAGGGTACTAGAAGAGAGTCAAGAGAGCTATCTATTCGATCTCATTGTGTCTCTAATCAGATGTGAAATTTTCCAGCATCATGCAAAACAAAATCTAAATATATCCAAAAATAAACTGGTTAAAATAGACAAAACAACATGCAAAGCCACAAGATTATATATGTTATCATGCATTTTCTTTCTTTTCACTGAGCTACACCTTGCTCATGTTGGCAGGATCAATATTTAAGGTTACTGTAATTGTATTTCTATATCAAAAATTTAAAAAGAGAGTAATGTGTGAAGTTTATACAGTAAAGTTAAACTCAAGAACAAATATTAGGTTTACAAGACTGTAAATCTGGAAATAGTGCAACTTGTGATAAGCAGTAATAGTTAGTTTTTCATTCATTTTTGAAGTCCGTATATATATCTGGGAGGGGGAGAGCCTGATGTCTGAACGATTTGCCAGTGAAGAAACAAAAACTAGGTGAGGTTGACCAAAGAGTGAGAAAAGTATTAGAACTGGGCAGGAAACAGTTCTCTTGTCCTGCAAGAATTTTCAAAATTTTAAAAAACTTTCCCATGTCTGATCAGAACAAAAAGTAGGAATATTGAAAATTTTCAGAAGCTGAAAATCTATGTTGGTTTTTTTTAGATCCGATCAAAAAACTTTTGTTTAGATAATTTAGAATCATTTCATTTTGATTTTAATTTTTAAAACTTTTTAAAACTATAAATTAACTTTTTCAATTCAAAACAAAAAGTCCTTTCAACCCTAAACCTGGAACTTTTTGTTACAGGATATTGAGAATAGATACTGGAATCCTTCGCTCCAGCCAACTTCCTGTTGCAGAATTTGAGCTTAGCTGCTCGTCCTCTTAAACCCTAGCAATTAATTTACATTGGTTGATATTCATTTACATTTTCAAGGCTACGATAGCAAGAAAAATGGCTAGAGACTTATACTTTGAAGAGACAAAAGTAGAAATTTTCTTTCACATTTCTAGTGGCCTCAAATCATGGGGAAGGGTCCATGGCTGCAAGATCTGAGGAGACCAGAAGATAGCTCTGACTGTGACTGAATTAGTTCCAGCATCAACATGGAAAAACTGTTATTCAGAGAGTCTAGCACACTCATCCCAAACAAAGCAAGAAGTAACTATATAGTGAGATGTGCTAAAAAAAAAAGAAAGTTGTTACATGGAGGAGGAAGAGGGAAATACTGTGCTAATACCTGTGTCAAGATAAAGAAAGCTAATTAAAGAAAACAAAAGCTCCAAATGTGCAGTATTTTTGATCCATGTATTGGGAGCATTTAATTAGAAATATGTAGGCCTGATTCTGCACTATCGTGCACCTTCTGGGATCACCTACACACAGTATGTGTAAAATACTATTGTGTCAGAATGGCACTTTCACAGGTTTAAATGATTGCAGATAGGTTTTATTCCACAGTATGTTGCCCTGTGTATAAAATGCAAGGGAGAGAGAGAAGTAAACATCATTTTAAAATATATTGTGACTTCTTCCCTGCTGGTAATGCATATGATGAAATGCTCAAACTGCTACATATTGGCAAGGAATTTCAGTGCTATCCTTATTTGTTTTATTTTTTTTTAAATATGTTTGGCTATTATTTTCATTTTCTTCCTATCCTAATATTTATTATATCAAAAATAACCAAGTTAATGCAATATCATGACTGAAGTGCAGAATATCAAGTATTTAAGTGCATACAAGTCTGAAAATGATAGGTTTAAGGTCCATAGCCACCTTTACTCGATTCTTCCTGTGTGTATATTACAATAGGATCTCTTATTGCAAGCTGCTAACTGCTGGTAACTGTTGCATATTATTGGGCCACTAATATAATATGAAGAAATAGCACTTTTCATAAAGTCATAGATGTAAAGACCAGAAAGGATCATCTAGTCTGACTAAGCATAGTGCAAGTCAGGAAGACTTCTCTGAATTAATTTGAACCATATCATGTCTCTTAGAAAAACATCCACTCTCGATGATCTTGGCAAGTTGTTCCAAAGGTTAATTACCATTGTTGTTAAAGTTTTGCACTGTACAGTATGAATTTGTCTAGCTTCAGCTTCCAGCCATTGGGTTTTGTTATACCATTGCCCATTAGAGTTCTATTAATCAAATTTCTATTCCCCAGGAAGGTACTTTATATAAACTTTGAACAAGTCACCCCCTTAATCTTCTTTTTGATGAGCTACATAAATTGAGCTTCTTGAGTTTTTGACTATATGGCATATTTTCCAATTCTTTAATCATTCTTGTGACCAGGGCCACCCAGAGGATTCAGGGGGCCTGGAGTCTTCGGCGGCGGGGGCCCTTCCACTCCGGGTCTTCGGGGCACTTCGGCGGCAGGTCCCGGAGCGAGTGAAGGACCCGCAGCTGAATTGTCGCCGAAGACCCAGAGCGGAAGACGCTCCGGGTCTTCGGCAGTGGGTCCTTCACTCGCTCTGGGTGTGTTTGGCAGCACTGAAGGACCTGCCGCCGAAGACCCGCTGAAAACTCTTGTGGGGGCCCCTGCAAACTCTTGTGGGGGCCCCTGCAGGGCCTGGGGCAAATTGCCCCACTTGTCCCCGCCCTCTGGGCGGCCCTGCCTGTGCCTTTTCTCTTAACCGTCTCCAGTTTTTCAACATCCTTCTTGAAGTGTGGACACCAGAACTGGAGATAATTCCAGTAGCGGTTGCAACAGTGTCAAATATATAGCAATATAACTGCTCTACTCCTGCTTGATATTCCTAAATTTGTTCATCCAAGGATCACATTAATCCTTTGGCCATATAGTTGAACTAGATGCTCCTGTTGAGCTGATTATTGACCATGACCACCCCCTTTTCAGAATCAATGCTTCCCACGGTAGAGTCCCTCAGCCTGCAAGTTAGGCCTCTATTCTTTGTTCCTAGATGTATGTCTTTGCATTAGGCCATATTAAAACACATATTGTTTGCTTGTGCTCAGTGTACCAAGCAATTCAGATTGCTCTGTATCAGTGACCTGTTCTCTTCATTATTTACCATGTATGTGGCATGCTTTGCATGAAATATCACAACCATATATGAATGGTGAATCTGGTGGTTAGAGGGTGCTACTTTGAGGTACAGTGTAAATTTCCCATTTAGAATTACATTTTGAGAGCTATCCGACAGTTTTAAATCTACTTAATGTGACTTCGTATTATTTTGTTTTACTTCAGTCTCCCCCATATGTATGTTAATGATACCAAGCACATGCAGAAGCTTGAGAAATGCATCGTGGGACAAGTTTCTGAAGTGAACAAAGATACTATGGGATCCAACCCTTCAGTCCTTACCACCAGTGGGAATTGAGTGCACTGAGCACCCTGGACTGTTCCTTTTATACTAACTTGATTTCCAACCTCTTTCAGCACCAAATGTCTCCAAACAAGACAAAAATACCTATTGTCATTTAGGAGTTACATACATCCAAAAATTGATGTTAGAAACCAAGGTGTTCTTGAGTCCGCTGAATGCCAAGAATATTTACAGTTGTCCAAAAGAAGTGGAATTTTTTTTCTTGCTTTGTTTATTTATAAGCAGATAACTATTTCACTCCAAAAATTACTTCTGGGCTAAGAAACTTCAACAAGAAGGATTTTTAAAAAGAATTACTTTTAAGAAATTTGTATAACCGAGAAGTCGCTTTCTTGAGCTGATAGTAACTGATTTAGTTCATTTGGGAAGTTACTGACCTTTCACAGGACAGTCAAATGTTTAGCTATCATGCAAGTTTTTCCTCAGTGGCAGGTCTGGGACTTTTTGAGGTGCACTGGAGTTGTGGTTGGGAGAACTTCAGTTCATTAACTGGTACCTTCTGTAATCTAACTGATGAATGTAGATTTGGAACTATATAAGGGGTTGAGGGTTGTTTCTTTTTCTTTTTTTAAATATATGTGATGAGAGATCACAACAGGCAAGTTTTTATTAATCTGGAAAAGAAAAATTAATGTGACTGAAAAACAGACTTTTAGAAGAAAAGTGCCATCTCAATCTTAACTTGATTGTTGATATAATTTTCTTGTGGGCAGGGATTTATTCAACAATGTGGGTAAATGGGTAATGCGTTAAAAATAAACTTGAAAATGTCTTCACATCCTGCATTATGGAGGTGTTATAATATAGTGTGTGCATATGTGCACATATATAATGTAAAAACAACAAGGAGTACTTGTGGCACCTTAGAGATTAACACATTTATTTGAGCATAAGCTTTTGTGGGCTAAAACTCACTTCATCAGATGCATAGAGTGGAAAATACAGTAGGCAGGTATATATACACCAGGGGTCAGCAACCTTTCAGAAGTGGTGTGCCAAGTCTTCATTTATTCACTCTGCTTTTAAGGTTTTGCATGCCAGTAATACACTTAAACATTTTTAGAAGGTCTCTTGTCTATAATATATAACTAAACTATTGTTGTATGGAAAGTAAATAAGGTTTTTAAAATGTTTAAGAAGATTCATTTAAAATTAAATTTAAATGCAGAGCCCCCCGGACCGGTTGCCAGGACCTGGGCAGTATGAGTGCCATTGAAAATCAGCTCGCGTGCCGCCTTTGGCACACGTGCCATAGGTTGCCTACCCCGATATAAACAGTACATGAAAAGATGGGAGTTGCCTTACAAAGCAGGGGGTCAGTGGGTAATGTGGGTATGTAATGTGTTACCTTTCAGTATTTTAGAATTACCAGATGTCTTCAAACATCCTTCCGCTCTAAGCCAATTTAATTCATATTAACGTGTAATATTAGCATATAGACAATGGTACTTCTTGGAATAGATTGCTGCTCTTAAATGTAACCTGTATCCATTATAAACAGTCTTTTTTGCTTTCTTTTTAATAGATTCTTTTGAGGTACCTGTGCCACCAACCAACCACACGATTATTGAACCAGGGGGAAATGTGACATTTAGATGTCCTTACAGTGTTGGAAGTTTGGTGCAGCAAGTGATGTGGGAAAGGATTAAAGTGGATCGGATGGATACCATAGTCCTGTGTAACTTGTCAGAAGGGAAAACCTATGGTTCAGATTACCAGGAGCGTGCAATGATAGACTGTGCTACTCAAGAGAGCGACATTCTTGTCATTCAAAATGTTACATCTTCTGACTCTGGAATTTACCGCTGTCGTTATGGTGGAAACAAAACCCATGTGATGAGCTTGACTGTCACTAGCGGTAAGTGAAGGGACAGATGGGAACTCTTTGAACTGCTAATGTTTTCCACCCACACACACATACTTGTAACTGCTAAGTGGGCTTCTATGATGTCACATTCAGACTAGCAGTATGTCATGAATAGCTAAATGTGGTGGTTACTGTGGCTTCCACAAGGCTGGGCTGACTTTGAGCCTGGCTGGTCACAAAGCTGTTTCAGGGGAACCAGTGACTGTGTGGGAGTGAGAGAGAAGGTGAGAGGGGTGGTTTGGAACAGGGGAAAGAGCTACTTAAGGCTGGGAAGGGGAGTCTCCAGCTCCATTCAAGCTTCACCCTGGGAATTTCCCAGTGTTTATCTCCTGGAGCAGGGGTGCTGGAACAGTTTTTATAGTGGGGGTGCTGAGAGCCATTGAACCAAACTGTCAACCCTGTATATGATGGAAACCACTTCAAGCCAAGGGGTGCAGCACCTAGTTCCAGCACCTCAGCCCTGGAGTGAACTACGCTGGGTTCCAAAAGCGTGATGCACTCTGAGTTGTAAATATCTGGGAAGCTCAAGAGTGCAGTTTGTTTGGAGCTGCAGCATATCAAACATGGCTGCCATAATATGCATGTTAGGTACTCGTTTATTTATATATATTTGTTGTTTGCATATGAATAGAGAATTCATCCTATCCGTATTGTAAACTTCTAATGTAATGTTTGTAAAACGTGCCAAACTGACAGCTATGCTTGCTGAAGTCCACTCATTGTCCTTGGAACAGTCTAAGCACACACCAAAATGGTGCAGATTCCCCCTCATTGCCCTAAAATGACCTAGGCCTGCCCAGGTGAAAAGATAGCTTGGTCACCCTAACTCAGTGGTGGGCAACCTGCAGTCCTTGGGCCTCATGTGGCCCATCAGGGTAATCTGATTGCAGGCCACAAGACATTTTGCTGATGTTGACCATCCACAGGCACGGCCCCCTGCAGCTTCCAGTGGCCGCAGTTCGCCATTCCTGGCCAATGGGAGCTGCAGGAAGCGGGAAGTGTTGCCCACCACTGCCCTAGCTTCTCTACTAATAGTGCAGATGATATAGGGATATGGCCACCACCACATTAATAAATTAGATGGAGACCATGAAAATTATTTCTTCTAGACCACTGAAGAATTGTTGTGTGATATCAGCCAGGCCTGGCTTCTCACTGGCAATCTGACAGGAAATGCTCCATGTTCCATTATCAATGCACAGAGCCATCCAGCTGACAGTATTTTGCATCACTAAAGGCCTATGGATTGGGATCTCACTACCTTGTGTCAGAACTATATAATGCAGATACCGCATGCAGAGTAAAAATTCAAAATAGGAATTTCTTTTTTTTTGGTTTTCTTTTAAGGACTAGTCGATTTTCATATTGTCTTTTCATGCTTCGAAACCTATCCGCTGAATTTACAGCCAGGAGAGAACACAGTGCAAAGTGTTAACTATGATGTACGTGAGATTAAAGACTGTACATGTGGGAATATGGAAACATTTTGCACTGATTGTTTGCAACAATCTCCTTCTTCCTAACAGGAAATCTAACCATAGTGAAAAAATTGATATTCTCCTGTGTATATGTGAACTAACTCACATTTTATTGAATTTTCCATTCATCCTGATACCGCAGAGCTCCTTTGATGATCCATTCTAAATAATCCTGCTGCAGTTTTGATTTCTTTAATATGCTTTGAAGGCGCTAAGACTAATTTTAGATTGTTTTGAGCATGTTTTGAAAGTATAACTCGTCTTGTGCCTTCCAAATTCGACTCCTTCCATTCATGTTTAAGTCCATGCTGTTAAGTACCTTTAAAGGTACTGTTTTTTCTTTGTCATAACTGAATGTTCCGGATATTCAACATACATCCTAGGACTAGAAGACTTTCTTTAACAGAAATAGTTCCTATGGCATGGAGTCTGAATCCTTTCAGAATGTTTAATCCAAAGGGTGGTTATTAGGGGGTAGAAACATGGGAAAATGAACCGGGCATATTACTGTGCACACCTAACCTGTTGTTGAATGAGAGGGGGAAGGGAAAAGCTTTTGAATCTTGAATTTCTCTTGACTTTGACAGTTTTAGGCACCCAAGTTTAAAAATGTTGACCTTATGCAATAATAATCAATCAGGCCTGAACCTGATGAAGTGTCTAGCAAAATTCCTATTGACTCTAAGTGCAGCAGGACACAAAAAGCCCAAACCACAACAAAAAAACCCAAAGAGTAAAAAGGACCAGTCTATCCCACCTGTTAAAACTCCCGCTCCTAACCTAAAGATTGATTATTAACCTTCTATCGCTTTAAAGAAATCCTATAAATCCCTGACAACTTTGATGTTGTCAGTGTACATTTGGTACTGTTGTTCGATATGAAAAAAGTTGAAAGGCTGTGCCTACAGCACAATACAATTCAACGTATGCCAAGCCCTCTCCGTCTCAGGTACACACACTGCAACATTACACACACAACTGTGCACCAAGGGTGACTAGACCGCAAGTGTGAAAAATCGGGATGGGGTGGGGGATAATAGGAGCCTGTATAAGAAAAAGTCCTAAAAATCAGGACTGTCCCTATAAAATCGGGACATCTGGTCACCCTATGTGTACCTTTTATAATAACTAAAGGAATTTTTTTTTATTGAAATGTTTTTCCAATCATTTTGTTTTTATTTTTCAAAAGTGTTATAATGCACAATGAATGAATGAATGAGTGAACTAGGGGGGGAATATTAACTGGAAGGGGGAGAGAGAACTGGTATCGCTTCTATACGTAGTAATGCACATTGGAAAACATAATCCCAACTATAGATATAAAATGATGGGGTCTAAATTAGCTGTTACCACTGAAGAAAGATCTTGGAGTCATTGTGAATAGTTCTCTGAAAACATCTGCTCAATGTACAGCAGCAGTCAAAAAAGCGAAAGATATTAGGAACCATTAAGAAAGGGATAGATAATAAAACAGAATATATCATAGAATCATAGAATATCAGGGTTGGAAGGGACCTCAGGAGGTCATCTAGTCCAACCCCCTGCTCAAAGCAGGACCAATTCCCAACTAAATCATCCCAGCCAGGGCTTTGTCAAGCCGGGCCTTAAAAACATCCAAGGAAGGAGACTCCACCAGCTCCCTAGGTAACGCATTCCAGTGCTTCACCACCCTCCTAGTGAAATAGTGTTTCCTAATATCCAACCTGGACCTCCCCCACTGCAACTTGAGACCATTGCTCCTTGTTTTGTTGTCTGCCACCCCCGCGAACAGGCAAGCTCCATACTCTTTGGAACCCCCCCTTCAGGTAGTTGAAGGCTGCTATCAAATCCCTCCTCATTCTTCTCTTCTGGAGACTAAATAATCCCAGTTCCCTCAGCCTCTCCTCATAAGTCATGTGCTCCAGACCCCCAATCAAGTTTTGTTGCCCTCCGCTGGACTCTTTCCAATTTTTCCACATCCTTCTTGTAGAGAGGAACCCAATTTTGGTCTCAGTATTCTAGAATAGGCCTCACCAATGTCGAATAAAGGGGAACGATCACGTCCCTCGATCTGCTGGCAATGCACTCTGCACTTGTCCTTGTTGAACCTCATCAGGTTGAACCTCATCAGGTTTTT